CTCAAGATTGATGATGAAAATGGTTCCTCCAAATCGCCCAAGCAAGAGAGGAATTAGTGAAATGAGCAAAAATCCCGATTGAGCAACATATATTTTGCACAGGCGTCTTCGCACCTGCGGGCACCCCAGCCGCACTTACGGCTCTGCATCTGCGAAAAAAATGTCCTCTCCTGCGGAAGTCACTTTCTCTCCGACAAGCCGCACCTGCGGCCCAAAGTTCGCACCTTCGAGGGCGCTTCTGCGGCCCTCCCCTCGCTTCTGCGCTTCCGTGCCTGCGGGATCCCATCCGCTTCTACGAAGCTAGCCACGACTCTCCAACTCCGCATCTGCGAAGCCTCGTCACATCTGCAGACTTGCAAATGCGAAAATCCTCCTCGCACCTGCAACCACTGCCCAGCTCACCCAGAACCGCTTCTGCGACCCCTTGGCTACTTTTGCAGTCTCACACCTGCGACCATAAACCTCGCAGATGCGATCACACCAGAAGCCTTAAGTTTCAGCAATTCCTTAAGTCCACAACTCAACCCGATTCCAATCTGATTCGCACCCGAGGCCCCGGGGTGCCCATCCAACCATACAAACGCATCCTAAAATATGATACAAAATTAGTCGAAGCCTCAAATCATGCCAAACAACATCAAAATTATGAATCGACGATCGAAACCTTTCTTTGAACTTTCAAACTTTGAACTTCGTCGAGCGCATCTGAATTATACTTAAGCAATCCCGGAATGACGCCAAACTTTATATGCAAGTCCTAAATCATGATGCAAACCTATTCCAAGGCTCAGAACCCTAAACAGATATCGATAATACTAAAGTCCGCTTCAAACCAAACTTAGGAAATTCTAAAACCTCCAAAATGCCATCTTTTCATATTAAGCGCTGAAATGCCCCCGGATCACCCGATATTCAACCCGAACATACGCCCAAGTCCAAAATTATTTTACGAACCTATTGGAACCTTCAAATCCATATACCGAGGTCGTTTACGCAAAAGGCAAACCTTAGCCAATTATTCCAACTTAAAGCTTTCGAATTAGAATTTCTATCCAAATCAACTCTGAACTTTCCAAAATTCTAATACCTAAAGTGAAGCTACTCAAGGCCTCAAACCGCCGAATGACGCGTTAGAGCCCAAAATGACCGGTTGGGTCGTTACATTCTCCCCCCCTTAAACATATGTTCGTCCTCGAATGTGCCAAGAACCTTATTCGCGTTGCATGTTTTTCAAAAGTTGGTGGTTTGATCCCTTGTAGGATGTACAAAAGGCCCCAGTGCATTCCTTGAATACATATATCTATAGCAGATATTTCTGAAAGGCGATCCTTGCAGTCCAAACTTAATGCTCTCCAACGATTGATGTAACCCACCACGGGCTCGTTCTTCCTTTGCTTTGCGCATGTCAACTCTATCATGCTTACAGTTCTTCGGGCACTGTAAAAATGATTGAGAAATTACTTCTCAAGTTGCTCCCAGATATCAATAAATTTGAGCTCCAATTCAATATACCAGTCAAATGCAATCCCTTTCAATGATCGAACAAACTGTTTTATCAAAAGGTCACCATGTATTCCAGCATTTCTACAAGTCTCGACAAAGTGGGCAATATTTTGCCTTGGGTTTCCTTTGCCATCAAATTGATGTAACTTTGGTGGTTGATAATTGGTTGGCATAGTTAGACAATCAATCTGCTTCGTATAAGGCTTAGAATAGTACAACGAACTTTGTGATGGTCCACCATATTGAGCTTTGATGGCATTTATTATCATGTCTTGCAATTGTTGGGTAGATAATGCCGCAACTTGTTGAACTTGGCAAGCGATTCCTCAACAACCGCTTTCTGCAAGGTGAAAACAGCTGAACGAGGAGGGACAGGGCTCAACTCTCCTGGTGTATAGGCCTCAAATTGTTTCATGAGTTGAGCGATTTGAAGGTCTTTATCTTCAACAAATTTCTTTAAGACTTCTATAGTTTGTTCCATCATGGCAAACTTTTCGTCCACGTTAGTTGTGTCAGTCTTTAAGGCGTTGACTTTCGTTGAAACTGGAGAATCCACCAAATTCTCAAATCCACCAAGGTTGGAGGCTGTTTCAGAAAGTTCGTCAAATAGCAAGAATGGGATGTTACCCAGAGATTGCGGTGGCGGGCGTCATGTGAGATCTTCTCTTCTTTTCTATCTCCAAGGAGGCAAATTATTTGGATCCATCCAAGCCACTAGCCTTGAACATGTTTCGAGTGATTGGGACAACACGACTAAGCTCAACGGATGCGGCGGGGTAGCATCCTTTCATGGAACATCATCACAATCCAGAAAGGCCATTGCAGTAGTAGATCTGAAATTTGTAGTTTTCAACTTGCAAGAGGAAGAGACAAAGGGTAGAATTTATCCCGCTGGGCATGTCAAAATTTGTTCACAATAAATTTTTGTAGTATGAAAAATAAACTGCAACAAAAAATATGAAGAAAAGTGATTTTATTGATAAATATTTATGAGTACAATTCTATGTATCCCTTAATTCGTGGGGTTGAGAAGCGTCTTTCTCGAATATAGGAAGATGCAGACCTCCTTGTGATGTATTTAATCGCCAAAAATATCGAGAAGCACTTCGTTATTTTGGGTTGATCTCCGGGAAGAACTCTATAGAACACTCCTTTGTTGAAGAACTATGCACTTGATGATTGATCTTTTTGTATGCGGATGCCTTCACCAATTGCGGAAGCTCTTCTCCAACTCTGAATGTCGTCAGAGAGTTATGTAACCCCTCCATTTTTAATGGTAGTGGATGGACAGTCTAGCTACATATATACTCTCTTGCTTGATTCTGATTGGCTCATGTGAGTCATCGAACTTATCACATAAGCTATGTGATGATAAGCTTGTTTGTGATTGGCCAAGACGTATCATTTTAGACACTTGGCAACTCTTGATTGGTCATTGTTTTAGACTGGGATTGCTACATCATTTCACACGTGAAGTCATCTTATGGCTTTGAGTTTGACTAGATATGCCATGTCACCCGACACATGGCATGAGTATGGGACTTAAGATGAAATGGACCTTGGGCTTGAAAATAATAAAATGAACTAATTTAATTTGTAAAGTCCAAATTAACTATTTAACCCAAATAAAATGAAGATTGAATCCAAATTTTGTTTGGATTAAACTTAATAAATTTTATATGTCTGCGGGGGTAAAATTAAATTCGTGGCGAAAAATCTTACTTGCTCTATGGTAAAGCACTTAAGGCAAAGTGTTTTAGGCCCCCAATTTTTATGCCCCTCATTTTTAACAACTAGTCTCAAGGTACGCACGATGCGCGTATATTCTATCTCAATGAGTACTAATTTATTTAAAATTTTTGTTTAAATAATAAAATAAAAGTATAAGTTCCTGAAGATGATCATATAAGTTAATCGTGTATAATAACTCGATAAATAAAGAAGGTCTCATAAAAATCCGCAATAATAAGTCAATAATTCAACTTAAAATATATTTCAATTTAATAATATTATAAATTTAATTTCACAAATTATCATGCTTCCAAGAACAAGTCCTTAAAAATCTAAATAATGCTTAAGGATAGAATTTAAAATATATAATCAGGCAACTAATAATCTACAACTTTCATATGATCACATAATCAAATTAAATAGCAATGACAATAAAAAAAAAAATTAAAAGGATACTAAAGCAAGCTTGTGAGAGAATTTATAATTGAAAGAAGACTCATCCATGACATATTTACTCCAGAGAATGAGTTAGAATTAGAATTTTTGTTTTAAAAAGAAAGAAGGGGCAGCCCGGTGCATAAGACATCCCGCATAATTTAAGTGCATGATCTAAATAAAGTAAAATTTTAATATTTTTAAAGTTCTAAATATTAGAATTTTCAGTCCAAATAAGTAAAAAAATTAATAAATAAAAGTTTTATTCATTTTAAACTTCTAAAAATTTAAAAAATTAAATGACTTATTAAAGAAAGTATTTTTATAATAATTAACATTAATTTGGAGGGACTTCAGATTTTTCTTTTTTGTTTATAAAGATCAAGTTTGAAATGAAAAGCGTTAGTTTTACTTTAGTCTTTCGTTATAGGTATTTTATTAAATATTCTAGAATTAAAATATAATAGGCACATTATCTCTTATTAATAAACAGAATGGGAAAACAAACGTGGTAAAAGTATGTTTGTTGTTTTTTATTTCTTTTAGTATGATTCTTTAAGGTAAAATTTCAGTAATTGATTTTGAAGTCCTATAAATTAGGATCAATACCTATTTTAAATAAGGAAGTATTTGATATACAAAATATAATTAATATTGAAGCCCTAAATTTTAGGCAAATAACTTAAATTACTATTTTATCCAACATATAGTATATTTTTAAAGGATAAAAAAGGCGAACGATATTTCGCTAAGGGCCTTCGTGCTTTTAATATAGTATAGATAGATAATAGACCTACAGATTTTTTTAAAGAAAATTTATTGAGTACTTTTTGTAGAAAAGTAAACTTATCATATAAAAGGAAAGATAATCTTATAAATATTCTTCTACTACTTCATACAAAAATTCTGAATTCTGAAAAAAATCAAAATTAGATTCCCGAAATTGATCCGAACATTAGGTAGAGTTACCCTCAAAATGGAGCACCAACGTAAATAACAGAACCTGTAAGCAGTACCTACCCCTTACCATCAAGGGTGCGGCGGGAGGGATGTGATCTATCCTTAATTTGAGGTTTCACGTTCAATCTCTAAAAATAAAGGAAGTTCTAATATTGAGCATTTTTCTTTAAAGCGCCGTACGCGACACGGATCCGAATAAATTGAATTAGTAAATTTCGAATACTAGATACTAATTAAAAAAATTAAAAAGTACTTCTCATATTCTTTAGACTTATAATTGAGGATAAGTCGTCGGTCCATATCGAAGCATTAAATTAGACAACACAATTGTCAGAGAAGTCATTGCATTTGCTTGGTTGCGAAGACACTTCATTGTCTTTTGCTCTATAAAAATAAGGCTAGAATTGATCAAGAATTAAAACCACCATATCCAAATTTGTGAGATGACAGAAATGAAATTGCTTGGTAATTCCTTGAGCCCATTTACTCACAGAGTTGAGTGGGCTCTGAAGATTAAAGGCGTCGAATATGAACTTATAGTAGAAGATCCACAAAACAAGAGCCATCTACTTCTTCAATCAAACCCTGTTTACAAGAAAATTCCAGTGCTCATTCACAATGGCAAACCCATTTCTGAGTCTATGATCATTCTTGAATACATTGACGAGACATTCGAAGGTCCTTCTATCTTGTCTAAAGACCCTTATGAACGAGCTTTAGCTCGTTTCTGGGCTAAGTTCCTTGACGAGAAGGTGAATTTATTTGGATTTGAGTTATATACATTGACGTGTAAAAATTTTATTTTTCAATTATCATTGCAGTTTAATCTATTAGCTGGTTCGTTACTATTTTTATCACGTTATCAACTATAACTAATATCCATCGACGATGTAAAGAATTTTTATACTATTACGTCACATTTACTTGTTGCAAGTAACTACCTTATTATCAAAATATGGGTGTTACTTATATAAATCTTTTGAATGATTTGATAATATAAAAAAGTTTTCCTTACACTGTCGTGTATATAAGCTGCATTCATATAATTTATATTTATATTTACATTTGATTGTTTTATAAGTGAACTGATTGTGTATTTATTTTTTATATGGTCAATTGATAGAACTTTAAACTTCATTCGTTGTCATGGTATATATTCCTATCTGCAGAACTGAGTAAAATTTTTATTGAAACTTTATATTTTGACTGTTTTGCAGTGCTTGCCAGCAATGGGAAAAGTTTATTTTGGGACAGAAGAGGAGTCAGACAAAGCTAAGGATGAATGTGATGAGCTGCTAAAAATTCTTGATAATGAGCTTAAGGATAAGAAGTTTTTTGTTGGAGACAAAATTGGATTTGCTGATATTGCTGCTAATTTGATGGCATTTTGGATGGGAATTATTGAGGAAGCCTCTGGTATAATTTTGGTGACCAGTGAAAAGTTTCCCAATTATTGTGTTTGGAGAGAAGAGTACCTTAACTGCAGCCAAGTAAAAGATAATCTACCTTCAAAAGATGCGTTATTTGCCCATTTCCAAGCTCGCTTTCAACCTGTAGCTGCTCCCAAGTGAACACATCTCTTGTGAAATTTAAACATTGAATGTGGCAACAAAACTACCCATTAAAGAAAACTGTTTTTCAAGAAAACTGGTTTATCATTTAAGAAATATTCATCTAAATTGTTTAACCAAAAAATAGTTTTACTATTAAAATTAAATTTATATTTAATGAGGTCACTAACAATCAATTCAAATCAGAGCTTAGTTGAATGAATCGAGTGACTAGACTAAATAAGCAACAAATGATGATAATAATGCGATTAAAGTAGGCAAGTAAAGGATAGAATAATCTTATTGAGATTGTTTGTGAGTCACAATGTTGTAAAGTAAGGATCAACTACCGAGCTTGACAAGAGCGAAATGTAGTAGTTTATAATAATGAGTAATTAAGTAGAGCGGAATCAAAATGAATATAAGACCAAAGGTATTTATAGTCTAAACCTAACGTTTATTTCCCTAGTTCTACTCCCACACGTTGCTCTGGGTGGTTGTTAGTGGTCGAGATACACGCCAGTTGTAGGATAAGCGTCAGGCACAATGGATATGAGTGAATCCCTGATACTCCATGAAAGTACAAGAGGGGGAGGGAGGGGGAGGGGGGATGAATTGTAACCGATTTTAAAACTTAGTTGACTAAGAAAGGAATTAGTCAGCTAAACTTCACAGTAGCATCAATTGTAGCAGAAATAAATTGTGCATAATGAAAAGTAAAAGGAGGCACAATAATTTTACACTGGTTCAATACCGGTGTGGTACCTACGTCGAGTTCTCTTGGGTCACAAGGGTTATCTTAGATCTTTAATAAGTCTTTACACTACAAAAAAATGGGTAAATTGCGGAGGTTAAAAATATAATTTACGGAGGTTAGAAACCTCCGCTATTTACTGCCACGACAGTTGAGCAGACCCCCGTAGTAAGCATCGCCACTATTAATTTACGGCAGATAAATATGTGGGTTTTTCGAACCGTCGTGACAATAAATAGCGGAGGTTTCTAACCTCCGCAAACTGTAATTTTAACCTCCGCAATTTCATGCGCGAAAATAGATTTTTATTTTTAAAATTTAATTTTTTTTAGTGTAGGGGTTGTAAACCCCCGCAATTTCTTATGCGTACACCATCAGAATCTCTTCAATTTTCTTTTGGGGGTTTTAACCTCATCTATTTTTAAATATATTATAGAATTGATTTTTATCATTAATATGCCATACGTTTTCCCTAATATCAATTGAAATATTTATGCTTAAACCAAAACATTAAAATTAAGAAACATCAGCATTTCATTAACCGTGAAAAATACTGTAAAAGAGTAGTATCATATGTCATCAAGCTAAATTAGAACATAGTTAATCATCTATATTAGTCAGCTATTACATTGTCTTAGTACATCCACTTCAATTAAAATGAATCTCAATGGTTGTCACTAGGATTACTAGCGCCAGAAGATCTTCTTGCATCCGTCGGTGAAACGGGTCCACTAGCTGCATCACTTGGCTGCAGCAAAAAGTAAAAAAAAAAGTACAACTATTAAAACTGACCAAATATTTAATATGGGGGGATCCACATGAGCCTCACTCTCCACTCCCCCCTCAACTCAACTATCAATTTAAAGACCCTGCAGCAAAGTACACAACTTAAAAATCATCAAAATTTTTACAAATTAAAACTGACCACAACTTAAAGCTAATACTTATGCATCTTGTAGTTGTGTCTGCTTCTACAGGAGGGACAATTCACTATGCATGACTCATCCTTAAACCTCAAAATCAAACAGAATACAAATTTTATACAAGGAATAAAGAACTCTAACTGTTGTCTCATCTAAAAAGCTCAACATCACTTTTATGGATGTTGTGAGCAAAGTCATCTGCATCATTGCATAAAGGGCATTGCTGGATGATGTTCATACCCCAAGCTACCAGTCTAACATATCTAGTAGTTCTCACATATTTGGAGGTATATGAATCCCTAGATCACTTGCTGATTAGCAAAGCGATAATGGAAATTTATTCATGTATTTGGAATCAGGATAACAATGTTGGATTTTGCTGACCTATAAAAGTATAGTACATTTTTTGTTATTTGTTTGCTAGTTAGTAGTCCTCCCCATTAGATGAATTAATTAGATCTTTTTTACTGACAAACTAATAATAGATACTCTAGTGTTAGTCATTTCCAACCAATCCAGATATACGCAGACAGAAGCAACTCACAATGCCCCTATAGACAGATCACTTCCTACTCAAAAAACTTCCGATGATTTACCAAGTGTAATTGTGACATAAATAATGTGTAGTACCTGAACTTTGATATGTCAAAATACAAAGAATGAGAAGAAAAAGAAAAGGCAGCGACTCGTGTCTTCACAGTAAGTGAAGACTTTGGTTTGAGGAGTTACAATAAGTGCAGCTGATGAACCTTTCAAAATATAAAGAGAAAATATCAATTCTCTATTATTAGAATACAAAATATTAACTATGAAGAAATAAATACATACAACAAAAATCATCTATAATCATAAACACTACCAAACTTGAAAATCCCATAAGAAAGAATGCATTTGCATAGTCATAGTCATAGATATGATACATATAATGCTTCCCACTTGTATTAACTACTAGCCAGTTCTAGCTATCAGGAAAGGCAATGGAATCAAAGAAAATCCATTAGCTTTACCCAAAAGTAAAAAATACCTTTACCTTTACAAATTATATTATACGCCTAGCATTCATCTATTTTTTTTTAAAAGAAAGAACTTTCATTATATACAAATAGCAGTAAACTCCCCAAGACAATGACAAGGCTATGCATTGAACAAATGTCCAATCTTACTCTCAGGGAAATACTAAGATATTCTCAAGCATTAGCATGCACCTACAATATGCTCAAAGAGTTTTAATCTTAACTGAAAACACCAAGTCAACTCCTTTTCAATCATAGTCTAGGTTTCAGGTACACACTACACCTCATTCAAAAAGCGAAAATCAGCTCCATTGCAAAGAAGTTCATACAACTAGGTGGATATGGCACTTAAAGGACAAAATGGAGCTTCAACAATCAAATTTTGTTAGCATATGCAAAATTTACTCATATGCCATAGGTTATTGTAGCTATTCCTATCCCCTATGGCACAAGTGAGACTAGAGAAATTTTCTTCAGAAGCTAGAGGTTTATTTAGAATAGTTCCATAGAAATCAGAGATGACCTACCCATATATATTATGTATTATGCGTGGGTGAATAATTTACCATTACCTCACTGAAATACCGGAAAGCCAACAGTTCCCATACCCACTGTCAGAATAGTGCAAAACCAAATGCTGTAACCAAATACTAGATATATTTTTTACCAATAAAAATACTACTACTAGCAGTATTTCACTAGATCTTGTGCCATTCCTCTCAATGATTGTATGAAGTAGTACTACATTACAGAACAGAAAGGTTGCAATTATGGCACATATGTGGAGCTATAGGAAAGAAATAAAATCAGAAATTAATTGACAATATGTAATCTCCAGTGGAAAACATAAGGATCCATGTTGCGATCAAACACACTCACGCAACTATACGTGGTCGTCAAGTAATAGAGTAGTGAGTAGAGTATCGTTCCCACGAAGACTTATTATTAACTTTTGACTAATTCAAACTCAAATAACTTATCGATTCAAGCGATTTCTCACGAAATAGATAATTTTCTAATTTACTGCCTAAAAACTATCAAGTAATGAAATAATAGAAATCAACCAGAATACTTAAACAATTTCGAATAACAATCAATAGGAGATAATATTCCAGGGTCACGGGTTAGCTATCAATCATGTTGCGTTCTTAGCTTAAAATGACTAATTGATTTATCTGGATTGTTGATTGACATGGTTGATATTACTCATAAGAATCTGTCGAGTCATTACTCGCCTATTCAAGCTAATTCAATGCCTATATGTCTATGGAATTAAGGTTAACAAGAATGCATTTACAATTCCTGTATTTCAACCGAGCAAGGCAATTAGGTATATGTCTATCCTAATTGCGAATCCGTTCCCCAATGCTCGGGTTCAAGAACTTGATCTATTTAATTCTATATGCAATCTAGAATTTCCACTTTCGATTTCAATTCTAGATTCGTAGATAGTATTTCACTGTTAGCTACTCAGCAAAATAATTAAGAACAAAATTAAATAAACAACCCAATATGATAAAATTAACTTCGTCAAATTAAAATTCAAATATCAACATTCATGTATCACCCATGACACTAAAACAATAGGGTTCTTAGTCACTCATGTTCATACAATCATCAAAAATAAAGTTTTCAAACATAAAATCAATGAGCACTAGGAAAGGGATAGAAGAATTGATCAAATCTGTGCTCCTGAGTGTTTGGCGTCTCCCTTCCTCTCTCAAAGTCACGTCCCACCTCTAAAAATAGGTTTAGGTTGGCTTTTATATGAGTTAGGGGTGTCTAGGGGTCGAAATAACCGAGTCCTAGTCGAAAAAGGCTACTTTCCCGTCTTGAGCGTCCAGGGCAGCATGGGGCGCTGGCCCTGGCGCTCAAATATTTTTGTCCCAATTTCGCTCCAATTCGCGCCCTTTTGTCCCAAATTGCATCCGAATGATCCCTACACATAGAAATATCAAAATTTAGCACAAATAATCATATTAAACATCTCAAATCATCGAGACATGAGCAAAATGTGAGGCGATATATATCAAAATATGCATACATTAAGTTGATTATCAACACCCCACACTTAGACTCTTGCTCGTCCTCTAGCAATGGAACTATATTAACACCCCCAAAATGTACTTAGCACTATGAAAGAGGACTTTACAATTAACTCAATCAAACACCCTACCTTTTGACTATGATCGATGTCGGCAATTAAGCATGAACAAACAAATTTCACATTCTTCCCGTTGTTAAATAGCCCAATTATACTCAATGTTATTCAACTAACTCAATCAACTCAAGCAACCTCTCCACGACTACCTTACCTCAAGAGACGACTTATTACCACTAAGCATACTCAACTCACGCACTCACCCAATACAAGAAAGTGTACAACATCACCAATCCGTCATGAGATCAAGTTCCCTCACCACAAGCAAAAGAGTGAATATCAAAGTAGTCCACAAATTCAAATATGTCATTGAACATAAATTAAGTA